AACCTATATCTATGCACTTACGTGCAGCTCTGGGATCTGCGTGCTCCCCCTATCTACCAGGATGTAGTCGAGGATCGAGTATTCATTGCAAACTGCCCGTTGCCTGGTGAACTCCGGCTTATCGCATTCCCTCCTACCGTTGCACACCATCAGCTCGTTGCTCCTGGGAAGGAAGGGGGGAAAACAAAACCAATGTGTTCGTGTCTCTCTGTACCTCATGCTCAAGACGAAATTTCCAAACACGCTCTATTTTTAATGACGTCGCGTGTTTTTTGCAATATGTACATGTGGTCCGTCCGGGACAATTTTGATTTTTCCATTCGCGTTTTGTGCCACAACTATCGAAATATACTTCGTATCGAATTAGACGGACTTAGCCATGATAGAAACCCCCACATCAAGGCAGACAACGAAGGTTTCGACCACAATGGACATTGCACTACACTAAATTCAAGGTGTTTTGCTGATAAAAATGTTGACTTGAGAAGAATGCTCTGTTTACAAACAATGAAGAATTTTTCGCGGAATTGAGTTTCCAGGAAAAATCAGAAGAAAGCGCCCCTTGCGGAATTTCGAGAGGAGTCGTTTGCCGCACTCTAATCTAAAATCGTGAAGTCGGTTCTCGCAGGAGATTGCCAACAAACTGTTGCGGTTACATGGTGATAGAAGGCGAAGAGCAATAAAAAAAAACAAAATCGATTTACAGATTTGTGCGCTAGGAGACGGGGCGTTACACGGTGACTGTACAACCTCCCCTACCCCGAGCAAAGTGCACCTAAGTGCAGGGCGGCAAAATGGGTTGAAAGCCCCAACCGGACCATACCATGTACAACAACACACAGACACGAAAACGGTCACAGCAGTTAAGGGAGAGTATCTACATAAAACCGCATTGGAGGTCGGGGGGTGGAGGGCGGCAAGCGAATATCGGACGGGGGGTCTGGGTCATGTCCTCTTCTTTTTGCTGTCCTTGGCACCGTCGAAGCGTGAAAAACTCCTGGGCGGCGCACGAGATCCTGGTGGGTTTTCCCATCGCTCAGCGGTTGTTCCAGATATAGCTAACCCGTGACGAAGCGACCTCCAAAATGATCATGTGAGGCCGCCTCTCGTAGATCTCGCCCGAACCTGAACGTGCGTTTGCTTAACGAACTGCACGTTGGTTTCAGGTAATCATGGGCTTGTCGGCCAAGTTTTTCCCCGCCGATTGGAGGGAGACGGCCGGGCCAGTGTTGGACTTCGTCACCTCAGGGGTGGCGACTCTCTTGTGCTCGGTCGTTAGCACCCCTCAGGTTGTCATCGAAGACCGTGAGTGTCCGCTCGACAGCGTAACGCAGTCGGTAGACTCTGCTTTAGGCAGCAGCCCGTCAGTTCTCAACGCATGGAAGCGATAGATGCTGCTGCATATTTCCATCGAGAGACACGACGTTGTTTCATGAGCGTACGCAGCTTCGACACTGCATGTCGTGATGGGTGCACACGCAGTATCATTGGTGGTGCAGAGAGTACCTGTTGCTTCGCCAGACTTGCTGCTGCATAAGTCTCCGATGCCGTGCTGCGCCTTGGGCAAACTTATCGCTGGCGTCACATGTGTCCAACAGAGGGCTGCTCAAGCTGGTCGGCATTCGGGTTGCCGTACATCTGTCCTCCTCCTTGTCCCATATGCGGCCTATTTAATTTATCGACCAGTCGACGGTCGGGGTGACTGTTAGCCGAAATACTTTCATATCTCCTTGCAGACGTTGTCCATGCATGCAAATGACGTACTGTCCCTCCCCACCTGCAGGCAGACGTTGTTCTTGAATGTGACTCTTTAGCATGGTTATTGTGGCCTTTTCCATGGCAGGAATCATGACTGGGATGTATCCGAACCTCGTCAGCGGATTCCGCGAGATATCCAGGAGCGAAGGTTTGCGGGGCTTTTATACTGGCTGGAGTGCCAACGTCTCGCAAAAGATTCCAAGCTACGGGTGAGTTCTTCAATGGAAACAAACACCCTGCAAAGCGGCAGTCTTGTAGCTACATAACGTTGCCGATTGTGGACGAACAAATCCCGCACTAAGCTAAAGTTGACGAGAATCTGTCAAGCGCGGACAGGTCGTGTAGATTTTGTGTGGTTGTACGACACAAAACTCCATCTCCTTCGGCATGAGCGTGAAGCACAGAGTTGCACCGTCTACTTCAGGCCAATCCGTCCCGCCAGAGCGGCCTCGCCCTTGCGAAACAACACAGGACTTTCGCCGCCACTGCCGCTATGATATCAAAACCCGATCCGATCCTAGTTGTGATTGTAGGAATATGTCGGTAGAACTTGTGTGGTAGACTAAGACGACGAGACCGTGCCGTGCAGCTGAAGATAACCGGAGTACATGTCTCGCCTCACAGCTTCCGTCTTGTTTTTTGAGAACCCGGCGTGCTCCGTCCCGGCTTTGTAGGGATGCGAGGTCAATGGTCTAATGACTACGGCATGCACGACTATGAGTACCCCCCCCGTCCCCCGTCCCCTCTCACGGCTACATGGGGCGTTTTTCCCAGGTTGACGTGGGTATTTTACCAGGCGTCGAAACGGCTCTACAAAAAGATCACCCACCGTGCTCCCACTGCCACGGAGAGCTTTGTGCTGGGAGCGGTGGCGGCGGGTGGAGCCGTGTGGTACGCCGATATTCGC